CTTAATATTCCTCTTTTGTGGGGACTCTCGATCTGCCTAAATGAGCGGCTATGCATCTTCCACCTACCCCTTTCCCGAAACGGGCCGCTAAGCGAGATCGTAGTAGTGAAGAAGAGTTGTAGTTACATTCTTAAAACAATTGCAAAAAAGCCAAATAGCCGAACCATGGAACAAGAGATCTTGGACGGGAGTTCGACATCGCGTGCTGGTGTGTCATCGCAGTGTTGTGCTTACTGTGAAGGAGATCCATGATGTTAGCTCGCTTGGATGTTCTCTATCGAGCGCCTACTTAGGCGGCTAGAATTGAAATAAGAGAAGCTGATTAGCCGCTTAGCCGCACCCCTGGATACGGCTAGTCGCTTGGATGGAAGGGCAGGTGGGTGAATTCCATATCTGTGTTGAGATTGCTGATGGGCGATGGAAAAATTTAGGTAAAGGAACCTTGATCAGTTCTTTTAGTGTCTGATAGGACTGAATTCCGGGAAAGACGAAACCGGTATGAGCTCCGTGCTTGGTGAGTGATTTTCCAGAGGTATGCCGTATTCGATGCTAAATTCGATGAATCTGACGGATATTCTGGTAGCTTGAGCGTTCTAAACAGAAGGGTGAGGGGACGTGGCGATTATGGAGGATAGGGATCAGTCTTTGATAGCAAGTCTGCAATAGCCGAACATCCTTTCCCAACTAAGGACTTACTACAGCTGGCATATGAAATGCTTAATGTGACATGTGAATTTAAGAAACAACGAGAGGAGAATGTATTTAGTTAGTCCAGATCTAGACCACCGGGATAGGCTTTGGTCTTTGATGGAGTACAGTATAGAAATGCTGGGGATAGATGGAATATGCACATTTAGGGTAGCACCAGACTGGGTGATTTTCATGTTTATCATACGGAGATGATATGCAATTCGAACTCAACTGAAAGGAAGTACCTATTACCAGAGGGTACTTGCATGGGTCAGAAAGGATGCAGATGAATGATCATTCCCCGTATATTAAATCAAGGCCCGATCCGTCTTGACGCTACGTTCAGCCAGACACTAGCAATAACGGTAGATATTCGCTTCAACAAGAGGCGTATTTGATGGATCGTTGCTTACGAGCAAGAGGGGGTAGGAAATTTCGTCACGAAAGAGGAGACCGCCTTGCGGGACTATGTATAATGGTGATTGGGTTCCAAGTTCTTCTTGAATTGGTTTGTACCTTGCAATGGTTGATAAGACGGGCCTAGACAGAAGACCTAGGGCAAGCTGACAGGTCTGGTCCCCAGATTGATCTTCCCGCACTTGCAGAAAACGGGCGACCAGCTGAAGCAGCAAACGCGGAGTGCATATTATGTCTCTATGTTCTAACCCAACGATGTTGAAAACAAAGTGTTTGAGAACTGGTATAAATTAAATTTCGTATAGATTGGATTATGCTCGGAGTCAAATGCGAGGTCCACACGAAGCAGGTCTGACGGCTTAGAGTGGCTGATCACCGCCATGAAGATATCTTTGTATAGCTTCATTTGGAGTCTTAGAAAAACAGATTCTCCACGAGTCGGATTTTTATTCCTGATGCTTCAAATCGAAGCTATAATCTTACTCTGTATGTTGTGATACATTGAGATCAAAATCAGCGTAACCATAATATGCTCCAGGTAACCGCTCTCGCCGTACTCCGAGGTTCTCATCCTACCTCTTCTCACCACACTTTCGCCACGATATTAGCAATATCGCCGTTACGGATACAGTTACCTCAACGAGTCGGCTTCTTTGCCCAAGACTGGTTCAAGAATGGGGTCACTGGACTCTTCGTGAACCCAGAGCAGGGAGCCTCAATGGGCTTTACAAACATCTGTTGGATGGTTATTTTTGGACAATAAAGTCACCGGACGTTCCGAGAGTGGTATACAAGATGGTTGGTGGGTTCGGGATGAAGTTGTTCCCCAGACCCCACGCTCCGATTTGGTTTGCGGGGAAGGAAAAACATGGTGTTGCGTGGATTAAGTCTTTACCGTTCAATGATATCACAGAGCTGGAGGCGTTGATGGCTGCAGACAGAATGCTTGCCAGCTTACGGTTTTAGACGAGCCCTATCTTATGCGGTGTTATAGACAATGTATCTGAGTACCTGCTCCTTGTGGTTGTCCCCAGGGAATTCGATTCCTGGAGAATATGAAGTATGAATTACTTCATTGATAAATCTATCCAAGACTAGGCAGATTCTATGCTCCATAGAATGTTCCCTTCTTCAATCATGCCGAATTCGACTATGGGAAGGAGTCTGTGTCATTCACTGTGGCTGCAAATTTGCCACATGAGAGGTGAAGAGATCGTTATCGTGGGGCAGCAATCCGAGACGCTCCACAGCATGTGCATTTTTGGGAGGATGGGTTGCATTGCAGCCGGGTAGAGCCACTGGCACTGATAAGGCGCTGAAATACATATCAACTTTGCTACCAAACGAGGTCAATATACCGTTGCAACGTCTCGTTGTTACTTAAGCTCTTTCCACAGTTGCATTATCCAAGAGAAAAACAATACCGGTGCCCGATTAGGCGTTTGGAGCTGAGCAAGTCGTCATGGCAGTGGGCAGGTTCCGTGCTATTCCTCCATAGTGATGATTGATGATGCACCATGGAAATGTTCGAAATACCTCCGTACTTCCTATGCATGCTACCGCTCTTACCCTTCTTGTCGACTGGTACCAGTTGTATTGTCGGCAGCTCCCACCTTCCCAAGACATCCTGAAAATACCCGATGTTTTGCTAAAGTCTGGATCGTGCAGTGACATTGTATGCGCCGCTTAATATGGGGGAACCGGCTGTTCTGTGCCTGAATGCCGAATGGAATCCTCCTTATTGATCTCCCTGTTCGTCCAATCTATCTCGGAAAGCAGGAACCGGACTGCTTGAGAAGTCCCATATGAGGCTGCGCCGCGCGAGACAATGTGGGCTATTTACCGGCATGATGCGAGCTCTTCTAGGATAGGTAAAGACCAAACGGGCAATCTGTGTAGCCGATGTCACGGCTTTCCAATTACATGTCTAGCAGAACTCGAGGCGAAAGGATTGCTGGATCAGTGCGTAAGAAGGCAGAACTGTCCAAGCTCGAGAGGCGGTCCGAAAAGCCGGTGAGATCCGCTTTCCCCAAAGATGCAGGCGGTGAGGAACGGGACGAGCTGAAAATCTGGGGAAGGACAACGACTTGGTGGAGGGGGGGGGAAGGCCCTTACTCCTTGGCTTTCCCCGCTATTGCTGTGCCTCGTCTACTGGAGGGAGAGGGGGGGGTGGAGAAGGCGTGAGCGCGGAGGGGGAAAAACAACCACACAGCTCAGCTCGATCACCTCGGGAGCCGGATCTGGTAGACCGAGCAGTCATCAAGGGTGAAAATACTGGCATACCAAGGTTGACAGTAGCTCCTGGCATGCAGATGTGAAGAGGGGAAATATTTGGAGATGGACGGACTGCACCAAATGGAGGTTTGGCATTACCTATGGAAGGCAGGTGGGTTATCAACCCTGACCTGATGCGATTCTGACCTTGCACCGTCCAAGTTGGCCCTGTGTTTTGGACCTATCGGCTGTACGCGTGTATCAAACCTCGACCCTCTAACGTCTCTTTGTCGGGGCATGCCGTCTATACGATGATCGTGTTAATATGGCTGACAAACTCTTCTTCTATTTACATTAGACATAAACTGTATTTCCTAAATGAAGACATGATCAAGGATCTCCTTGTATCTTTAAACAAACACCTATAGGCTGTCCGATTAGCTTGCTGACGAATAAGGACGGTGTTGTGTCGTATACTTGAATTGTCCATTGATGAAGCAAAGCAGGTACGTTACTTATCCCATGTACGTCAGATATATTACTGCCTGTAAGTCTTTCTACTTATCTTTTCCATAGATTAAATAGCGTCCCAAAATACATCCCCCCCCCCAAAGGTTACGAGGTTTTAGACATGTGCCAAGCTAGACATGATCTTATCTCACCAGACCGCATCCTATGTGTGGATGCGAAGGTGGAAAATGTGATGAATCACATCTGTGAAACGTGGGCGCTGGACCTCAGAGGCTCTTGGGATGAGCGATGTAACTAGAGAATGTGGGATGTGGGGTCTGGAGAAGTGTCAAGATAAGGTTGAGATGAAAGAGCCACTGTCATTGGTGGTAATTCCGGTGAATTGAAATAGCCTGAAAAGAAGCGGTCAAAGGCCGGATCGCCATCACCCACAGTAATCTGATACTCTACTACGACCTTTCAACTTCTTTACCCAAACGAACCTCAGTATGTTGCGACGCGAATATAGATGACGCGAGAGCTTCGTGGGGGTATCTTATCTTTACGCATGCGGTTCATAATCATCTGCATTTGGCCACCGAAAGAAAATAGATTGCCTACTACAGCAACCATATTAATTATACCTAAAAACAACTGATACGACAAGTTTGGTAATTTACAGGACATATAACTAGTATTATTGTCATTCCAAACTTCTAAACGTATATATGGAAACCTCTAACTGATGGGAAATATTACCATTGCTAGAGAAACAAGGTGATCTCAAACAGGCACACAGAAACAGGAAAGCCAGCGACATCATCATGTGATCTACTCAATGAGACCTCCACGCTAGTGCTTCATGAACTTTCTTTATCAGTGGCCTTGAAGTGCTGGCTCCAAGGTTTTTCTACTCATCAGGGAATCTAAAGTCTACGAAATCATCACATATATCCTAGCTGTGCGGCTTATTCTCTTTCGATTTTGAGCGTCCATATCAGCTTTGCGGTTTTACTGTGGGTAAATCATGTTGAATGTATAACCAGCAAAGGCAAACACCGCTAACTGCATTGCTTCTTTGAGTTTCGTTGTTCTTAGACTAATTATTTGTTGTTCTTTCCTTATCAGGATGTCCTCCATGCCTCACCCTTTCCATGACCGAGGAAGGTGAACCAGCTCATATAGATACTCCTTTAAGCAATGACTTGATATCACAAGTTAAAACATGCGTTCCGTTAGTCTAGTGGTGAAGACGCTTGCTTCACATAGTTACGCAAGAGGTCGTCGGTTCAAATCCGACACGGAACAGTCCCTTATTTTGCCCCTAGTATCTTTCATTTTGGCCGCAGGAGAGAATTTTCGTAGTCATTCTGGCACATGTAAATATGGTATCACTCTTAAATAATTGAGACATATAGCTCATATTTAGATTACTCGGACCCTTCGACAACGATACAAAGAAACTCTGTATTTACGGGGGCTTCTCGCTTAGTAATAACGGAATGAATCACCTGATTCGAGTGACCCATTCCTCATTTGTTTCGATGGAAGGAAACCTTACATCTAACAGTGACAAGGCCATCCGACTTCAGTATGTCGCAAGAAGAGCAAACAACCAGTGGCGCCGCTCCTTTGGATCCCACTTTCCGTAACTATGACTCCCAACAGGCAGCAACATACGCATCGCATCGAGGATCGTACTCATCCGATATCTACAAAGAGGTTCTAGAATATCATGATTCTCATGGAGGAGAATTTGACACAGTTCTCGATACGGGCTGTGGCACTGGAAAAGCTACCAGGAGTCTTGCCCAACATTTCTCCCACGCCATAGGGCTCGATCCAGGCAAGGAGATGATCAAGCAAGCACAGATGATTGGAGGTAAATCCAAGGGCAATCATCAAATTGAATATGAGAATCTTGGGGCAGAAGAGCTCGACAGATCTACTCTCGTAGCAGCAGGATCTGTTGATCTCTTGACGGCCGCCATGGCGGTAAGCAAAATTTCCATGACTTTCAGTGCGTCCCGTTCAATGTCATTTACTAACGCAAACTGCTCATACCGAAGGCACATTTGTTTCACATGGAAGATTTTTGGCCGCAGGCAGCAAGGATGGTCAAGCCGGGTGGAACTGTTGCTCTCTGGACTCATTCTTCGCTCTATTGCCGTTAGTTGCCTCTAAATTGATATGTTCAAGAACATGTCAGTTCTAAATGCAGACTAGATCCATCTACACCGAACGCTGCCGGTGTACAGAAAGCATTTCGCTATCTCGAGGACGAAGTCTTAAGCCCTTACGAGCTTCCATCCAGCAAAATTTCACACACGATGTACCAAGGATTGATCATGCCTTGGTCAGTCAGTGGCTGTGGCATCGAATTTCCAGAATCATCTTTCGTTCGTCGAGAATGGGATCGAGATGGAGCACTTGAGCCCGGCAAGGATGACTTTTTTGGTAGCTCGCGTGAATTTACACTCCAGCAACTGAGTGACTCGTTAGGAACATCCAGCATGGTAACCCGCTGGCGTGAAGACAATCCAGCACTTCTTGGGACAGGGGATGATTGCGTGGTTTTAACAATGAAAGCTGTTGCTACTGCTCTAGGGAAGCAAGAGCAGAATCCTGACGAGATCAAAATTAGAGTGGGAAGTTCAACCACTTTATTGCTGTTCACTCGCGCAAAAGATCGAACGAAAGAGTGAGCTGGTACGCTGCTGAGTACCGTGGATTTTGGTCTATAAATTATCCTTAATTCATCACCATCAGCGATACATTCAATTCTGGCGATTAAGATGTAGGGGACAACTTTATCCGTTTTGAAAATCAAGCAGACTTGAACTTTAAGATGAACTATCATGGAAAAGATCTTTGGGTGCTCTTCCTCACAATATTTTATGAGGCATTCAGAGATTGGCCTATACATCAGGCTACACCCTAACCAGATGGAAATGTAGTGTCTATTGTATAAGTTAAGGTCATCCAAAGTTATGAAGTCAAGTCGACGAACAGATGGGAGACAAGCACAAGGACAAGGATCCCTGTCCTTGCATCCCCCACGCCTGTTCTCACTCCCATGCTGGTGATCACGACGCTGTGAGCAAACATTGTCAAGCAGTATGAGCTTCTTAGCAAGACTACATTGCAAAATGTACTAGCAGGGAAATCATTTAATGTCTAAAGGTGTAAATCACAGGCAAGATCAAAACTAGCTCAATATGTTAGAACAGCCTCTACCACTCCCGCTGACAAGCGCCTTCATGACGTATGGCCCGAAGCCACAACATGAAGATCAATACAACTTGAGTTCTTGCAATGTAAGGACATCTACGTCAATGGAAGTTTTCATTCCTGAACGTAAATTTTGTTATTATCTATCATCAAGCCTATTTCCCCATTAGCTTTGAGGTAGACCTTTCGAGAGGCAGCATGTCAACTACGCTAAAAGAACCTATTGTCAGCGAACTTGCGATTGTTGAACCCTATGCAGTTGAAGGTCCGGCTCCATTACCCAGCGGATTACGCAATGAAGGACCAATTGAAGAACCAGAAAGAGTTGTGGCACATGAAGAGCAGCTGCCAACTGATAGCCATGCTTTGGCGAATGCCAATCACGACGAGAAAGGTGCCGCACAATGTGAGCATTCGCAGACTGAGGTGAAAGATTTGGGCTGGAACGAACCTCCGACTGATGTGCCAAATCCTCTGGTGGGAGGGTTATCAAATGAAGAGCTGTGGACTCTGATCAGAAGGCTCAATAAGGTAAGCAAAGCATAATAAGAACAATGCAGGAGCTAACTAAAGTGCAGCAAATGTACCATGTGAAAGCACTAGAAGAGCGACCTCTCATGGGCTTAGATCTAAACATTGCAGATGAAGAAGAGTTTTCACCAGATAAATTGAGAGCTAATATCGAGCGCCTGTACATGACAGTCATTGTTGGCTTGGTCGGATTTTATAAGCACATTGCTCGACTTCGCTCATGGCGAGAGAGAAATCAGACGCTCGCTTTCTTGGGAGTATACTTCCTGGCATGGGCACTTGACTTTCTTGTTCCGACGTTCATCGCCTTCTTAATAGTGTTAATTGTGTACCCGCCGTCACGGCCGTACTGTTTCCCTCCCGCACCAATAGCCTTGATCGACAGCAAGACTGGAAGTGCGAAGAAACCAACCGCCGGGGTTCTTGGTAGCGACAATAGCTTGACGGGAGCCCCTGAAAAGCACCATGGAGAAGCAGTTGAACAGGAAGCAAGCAACTTTGTGAATAACTTTACGTCCATTGCGCTCAGCAGTGCAACGGGCAAGCATCCACAAGGAGACCAGCATGATGCAGACGAGGTTTCCGGTGGATTAGAAGACCGCTCGCCAGATCCTACTGGTTTTGTGCATAGTGCTATAGATGCTAAAAACAAGACTGCTGGAGGTAATCCAACAGCTACCCACGATAAGACAAAGGAACCAATGTCAGCTGCGATGTGGTCAAAAACAAGGCCTGTAATGCACGTCATCGCTGATATCGCCGACGGCTGGGAACGTTTTGGCAACGCCTTGTCACCAACAGCCCCATTTCCAAAGGAGAAGCCACGCCTCAAACTTGCGGCCGTGCTCGCACCAATATTACTGGTCTCACTTTTCACAACTTCTTACATGTTCTACAAGATGAACGGTCTGTTGATCGGATTTGGATTCTTCGCCGACCCGTTGATCTGGAGAGGACTATCATCCCTGAACAGGAGATATCCAAACTGGCAGAAATTTCTCGAGATTCGAAACACTCTATTAAAAGGTGTCCCCACAAATGCACAACTCACAGTCACCCTTCTTCGAATTGGCGAACGTAACAACGCCCCTCTACCACCTCCACCTTGCAGCGGGCCTCCGCCACCAAACGCAGCGCATGCCACAGCCGGCCAAAATCTTGGTCATCTAGGTAAGTCTATATAGAGTCAGTATCAATTCTTTACTGACATACACAGAAGGAGTACCAGACGACGAAATTGCAGAAGCCATCCATCCCGACGAGACATCACCAACCACCGGCGCTGATGAGAAGCCGGAAAAGAAGCCCGGACGACGTATCATAGCCGCGTTCAAAAGCGTCACCAAGGGAGGCGTGGAAACCGTGCTTGGGACAGATCGGTTGAAAGCCGCCGCAGGAGCTGAGCACGCCAGGAACCGATTAGGTGTTTTGAAGTCCGGCCAAGATCCCAATGCTGGCCCGATCGATTTCCCAGCTAGATTCAAGGGACGCAAGGGACATGCATACATCACGACTTCGGCGACCAGCCCTGTCCTGAGCTGGACCACCGAGAAGGAGAACATCGATCCCGTATGGTCGATTGCCATTGCTGATATTAAGGTACATGACCTTTTATCCATTTGCGAGATACGGCTAACAAGGATGCAGGAAATCAAAAAGGTTGGCGGTCTAGGCTGGAAGGCAAAGCTGGTGGTTGGTTGGGCCACCGATCGCGAGATTGCGGACGGACTTCTCATCATTGATGAGGATGGGAGCAAATTCCTGCTAACGGTGATTGCGTTAAGAGAAGAGCTTTTCAACCGTTTGATATCCATGGGCGCACAGATGTGGGAGGCATGGTAGGCAAAATACATATTCTGGATGGGAAGAAGCACACGATGAGCATAAACTTTGGTACACTGGTGTCGATTACATATAGCACATAAGATAGACCACGATGTATGATTTACTGAAACTTAATAATCGAAACGGCATGAAAGTCATCGTTTCCACTGGATGAGTGATGCCCATGGTGTTAGCCATGTGATACATGGCTTTGGAACCTTGACCCAAAATTTCTAGACTGGTACAGACATTCAGGGGCTCGCTTAATAAGAGGGTGACAGGACGTCATCTTTAAATCGAGTTTGTTCTTTCTGATAAAACCTGCAGGTGAGTATATGGCCATTTCCCGAGCGGTAGATACCATCTAATAGAGCATAAAACCATAATAATAGTCGGCAGAGATGAGTAACAACAAGGCCGATTTTGCACAGGAATAGACATTGGCAGGTTTTAACACGCAACACGTCTGATATGATGAAGCGTGGCATTCGTATTTCTTTTTTTTTTTTTTTTTTTTTTTTTTTTTTTGCTATTGATTCTTGTCCGTTGCCTGGTCGGAACCTCGCATAATTTCACAACAAAGCTGCCCGAGTAGCCAGACTCGAGAAGTTGTTGCCAGCGCACTTTTGCAATGTCTTCGTTCTGCTCATTGTACTCGCGGCGAAATTCTTGCTAAGTAAGTGTAGAAGGTACTTCAGGTTCCAAGGATTTTCCAAACACGA